GATCCTTTGCACAGGAAAGTTGTTTGACATACTTATGCGTATTTGGGGTATAAGTTGTATGGCATAATTTTGAACTACATGGCATGAATTATGCATAGGCAAAATGAATAAATTTAAAACCAATTGCTTATGAGGTAATACCATTGGCCTTTTGCACAATTACCATTGCACAATCTACTCATCGTTCCGAGCGAGATTTTTTGGGGGGTCAACCAGCATCCAAATGTGCTACTAAGGCGTCTCCTTGATCATCTTGTTAAGGTGACACAGAAAAGCGTACCAAAAAACAAAACAAGAGTTCAAAGCTCTCACTCCGGAGGGTAAACCCCTTTGAAGGGATTAGACCTTCTGAATGGAATGCAGGGATAGTGTTGTAAGAATGTAAGTTAAGTTTTCAAAGAACTTTAGTTACACATTTTCTACAGTACATTTCATACTTTGCACTTTCCAATAAACTTCTAAATGTCTATTCAGTAGTCCCTACAACGGACGACACAATTTGGTAATTGTGGTGCTTCTAATTAAATGATAAAAAGTAGTTATAAATGATGTCCAAAATACACATACTCATCTTTGCACCAGTAAAATGTACAGCAATTTATGTTTTACTACCAAATTATATGTAACATCTAATTAACGTACAGTGCAATTTTTCATTAATATCTTTAATTATATATCCTGAACACAATGCATGATGGGATACGTTTAGCCTTAAATACCGCTTCAAAGTGTGGATCTAGTGTGCATTAAAGGGATAGTTCACCCAAAAATGAAAATTTGGTGTTTATCTGCTTACCCCCAGGGCATCCAAGATGTAGGTGACCAAGATTTTTAACTCAAACCATTGCAGTCTGTCAGTCATATAATGGAAGTGAATGTGAATCACGGCTTTGAGAGTCAAAAAAACATACACAAACAAAACCAAATTAAACCCTGCGGCTTGTGATGATACATTGATGTGTAAAGACACAAAACGTTCAGTCTGTGTCTCTCAATCTCTATCTCTCAAATGGACCATTGACACTCTATCTACAATCTCAATTAGGAGTGTCAATGGTCCATTTGAGAGATAGGTAGCGGTAATCCACACATAAGTCTGTGATCCACCGTAAAGCAAGAAGACGATGACGCGTCACGCGCCGGCTGTCGTGGACACGCTCAGGACAGTTCAGACATTGCAGTGCATCAGAGGTAAAAAACGATATAAATACTGTTCAGTTTCTTGCACAGACCGATCGTTTAGTGTCTTTACACATCAATGTATCGTTACGAGCCACAGGGTTTAATTTGGTTTTGTGTGTTTTTTGACTCTCAAGGCCATGATTCCCATTCACTTCCATTATAAGACTGACAGACTGCAACGGTTTGAGTTAAAAATCTTCGTTTGTGTTCTACTGAAGAAACAAAGTCATCTACATCTTGGATGCCCTGGGGGTAAGCAGATAAACATCACATTTTCATTTTTGGGTGAACTATCCCTTTAAGGGCACTGAGTTGTGGCATTTTTAAGACCTGGGACAGTTTTGTGCATGCACTTCCTTTGTGTGCAAACACACTTACGTGCCCAAAACCACAAGTGTGGGTATTTGGACAGGCCCCCTCCCCTGTGTGCTGATGCCTGAATTTGCATTATACGGACTAAGGCGGAACATGGACACGGGAACTTTACTTTGGCTTCCTATTAAGGAAGCTACATTATACACCAAGGCACTTCAAAGAATACTGTGACATTACCATGACATATGTACAAAAATATACAAAGAGTGTATAAAACAACAAGTAATATGAGTTTGAATTGCTGTACTGTGTATTTTAATATGACTGAAATGCTTTATTGGGCATTAAATATCCAGGCCCGAAACTGCAGGATAAACAATGCAAGGTGCGATTCCACTCTTAGTATATATATATATATATATATATATATATATATATATGAGCAATATCACTCGAATACGAGAGCGATACTGGCTCTATATCAGCATGGCTGTGATTAGGCCAGTGATTAGCCGCTGATACAGAGCCTGCATCGCTCGAGTACAAGAGTGATATTGCGTTTATACAACAGACGTTGCTTTTTATATTATCTAACGTACTCTACGATTAGCTCAGTGAATAATTTAAAAAAAACATAGACCCGGCTAGAACAAGCGGAGTGATACAAAATTGTGAAAGGGCATTCCTGTAGCGATACCAGTACAATATCTCACTGTTCTCAACCAATCAGATTTGAGAACTGTTGTATAAATATATAGATTTAATGAATCTGGTATGAGGTGCCATTTAATAGTTATATAAAGTTTTACATAAACACTCTGAACGTAAGGCTGAACATGGATACATCTGCTTTTTGAGTGTTTGTCTGCAGGGTTGTCACAATGCCAAGGCCTGCAGGAAATGTGCAAATGCAAGGTACAACACAGCTGAGGATTCAGATGTTTGGTACTCCATCATACCGAGCTCAAAACAGCTCAGCTTGAGTCATAAAAACATGTCCCAAGAGCTCGTCCCCCGTGGACATGTCTAACCTCACCAGGAATTCTGTTCCAAAGAGCACAGCGTTCCGTAAGCAGGACAGTTTCCCCTAGAACACTGCCATGCTTTAACTAACTCGACATGATCTAGTAACTCTACAACCTTACTTTGGGACCTTCTAAGACAAGCCCAGCTTCATCCATCATTAACAACAAATAACTTGCTCTTTGATGGTTTCCTTCGGACTTCCTCATTCCCAAGGGGCCGATTTGACAACATAATCTGCAGGGCACACTCGTGTCTACCAAGAGCTGGTTGCAAAGGAGGTGTTGTTGTAGGCGACAGAAACAGAGGGACTTATGGTCCAAATATGGTCCACTTTCAGGCCAAGGGTGGGGGGTAACAGGAAAAATCCCCCTGAACCACAGGATGCACATGGACAGACCATGACAGCTGGAATAAAGCAGGATATGGAGAGAGAACGAAAGGAAGAGAGAATTGAGGGATGCAGCTGAAGTTAGATTAAATCATTCCTGTTTTGCAGGGCTGTTTTTGTGTCCCGTTGTTGTAGCGCACCATCCAGGAAGCTGGAGAAACAGTGCTGTCGTCAGAACTGTTGACTGGTAGATAGCGCAACACCTGCCAAATAAAACACATTAGTCACTTGAGTTAAACTACATTTGCTGAAGACAACGTGAGTGGGGTTTGCTTTGAAACTCACTGCCATGATGGGTGTCACTGGTGTTTGCCAGCGCGTTGCATTGCAGTTGTTAGGGTGTTCTGGGTGATCGCTAATGCTAATAGGTGGTTTTTAGCATGTTACAATGTGGTTGCTAGGGTGTTCTGAATGGCTGCTAAGACATTCCGAGTTGGTTGATATGGTGTTCTGAATGATTTTAAGCACATTGTTATCCAGTGTCTGGTTGCTAGGACAAATCAAGGTGGTTGATAGGGTGTTCTGAATGTTTTTATATGGTTGCTAGGGGCGTTGCTAGGGTGTTCTGGATAATTGTTAGGACATTGCTTGGTGGTTGTCAGTGTTTGCACAATTCAATCTAGTTACTAGGGTGTTCTGGGTGATTGCTAATGCATTGCTGGATGGTTTTCAGCACATTGCTGCATGGTTGCTAGGGTGTTCTGAGAGTTTTTAAACACACTGTTATTCTGTTTAGTTGCTAAGACATAGCAAGTTTGGAATGGTTTTTAACATTTTGCTATATTGCTAGTTGCTAGGACCATTGCTAGGTTGCTCTGGATGGTTGTTAGGACATAGCTAGGTAGTTGTTAGGTGCAGTCTGGTTGCTAGGGTGTTCTGGGTGATTGATAATGTGCTGCTTGGTGGTTTTCAGCACTTTGCTATGTGGTTGCTAGGGTGTTCTGAATGGTTGCTAAGACATTCCGAGTTGGTTGATAAGGTGTTCTGAATGATTTTAAACACTTTGTTATCCAGTGTCTGGTTGCTAGGACAAATCAAGGTGGTTGATAGGGTGTTCTGAATGGTTTTATATGGTTGCTAAGACCGTTGCTAGGGTGTTCTGGATAATTGATAGGACATTGCTTGGTGATTGTTGGTGTGCTGATCTGTTTTTGCACACTGCAATCTGGTTGTTAGAGTGTTCTGGGTGATTGTTAAAGCATTGCTGGTCGATACCACATTGCTATGTGGTTGCTAGGGTGTTCTAGATGGTTGCTAAGACAATTCCAGGTGGTTGACAGGGTGTTTTGAATGTTTTAAGCACATTCTTATCCATTTGCTAGGATGATGTGTCTGTTTTCTTTAGACATTGCAAGGTGGTTGACGGGGTGTTCTGAATGTTGCTATAAGATTGCTAAACTGTTGCTAAGGTGTTCTGGATGGTTGTTTGGACATTGGTAGGTAGTTGTTAGGGTGTTTTGGATGGTTGCTATACATTGGGAGGTGGCTGATAGGGTGTTTTGAATGTTTTTAAACACTTTGTTATCCCGTTACTAGGACATTGCAAGGTGGTTGATAAGTTGTTCTGAATAGGTTTTAACATGTTGCTATGCGTTTGCTAGGGCTACTGCTTGGTATTCTTAGGGCAGCTGCTAGGTGGTTATTGGGGTGTGCTGAATTGTGTTTGCACAATGCAATCTGGTTACTAGGGTGTTCTATGTGATTGCTAATACGTTGCTGAGTGGTTTACAGCACATTGCTATGCGGATGCTAGCGTGTTCTGGTAAAGTTTTCAGCACATTGCTAGTCAGTTTGCTAATGCGTTGCTAGGCGGTAGTTGGTGCATTGCTGGATGGTTTTCAGCACATTGCTGCATGGTTGCTAGGGTGTTCTGAGAGTTTTTAAACACACTGTTATTCTGTTTAGTTGCTAAGACATAGCAAGTTTGGAATGGTTTTTAACATTTTGCTATATTGCTAGTTGCTAGGACCATTGCTAGGTTGCTCTGGATGGTTGTTAGGACATAGCTAGGTAGTTGTTAGGTGCAGTCTGGTTGCTAGGGTGTTCTGGGTGATTGATAATGTGCTGCTTGGTGGTTTTCAGCACTTTGCTATGTGGTTGCTAGGGTGTTCTGAATGGTTGCTAAGACATTCCGAGTTGGTTGATAAGGTGTTCTGAATGATTTTAAACACTTTGTTATCCAGTGTCTGGTTGCTAGGACAAATCAAGGTGGTTGATAGGGTGTTCTGAATGGTTTTATATGGTTGCTAAGACCGTTGCTAGGGTGTTCTGGATAATTGATAGGACATTGCTTGGTGATTGTTGGTGTGCTGATCTGTTTTTGCACACTGCAATCTGGTTGTTAGAGTGTTCTGGGTGATTGTTAAAGCATTGCTGGTCGATACCACATTGCTATGTGGTTGCTAGGGTGTTCTAGATGGTTGCTAAGACAATTCCAGGTGGTTGACAGGGTGTTTTGAATGTTTTAAGCACATTCTTATCCATTTGCTAGGATGATGTGTCTGTTTTCTTTAGACATTGCAAGGTGGTTGACGGGGTGTTCTGAATGTTGCTATAAGATTGCTAAACTGTTGCTAAGGTGTTCTGGATGGTTGTTTGGACATTGGTAGGTAGTTGTTAGGGTGTTTTGGATGGTTGCTATACATTGGGAGGTGGCTGATAGGGTGTTTTGAATGTTTTTAAACACTTTGTTATCCCGTTACTAGGACATTGCAAGGTGGTTGATAAGTTGTTCTGAATAGGTTTTAACATGTTGCTATGCGTTTGCTAGGGCTACTGCTTGGTATTCTTAGGGCAGCTGCTAGGTGGTTATTGGGGTGTGCTGAATTGTGTTTGCACAATGCAATCTGGTTACTAGGGTGTTCTAGGTGATTGCTAATACGTTGCTGAGTGGTTTACAGCACATTGCTATGCGGATGCTAGCGTGTTCTGGTAAAGTTTTCAGCACATTGCTAGTCAGTTTGCTAATGCGTTGCTAGGCGGTAGTTGAATGGTTTCTAGGTATTTGATAGGGTGTTCTGAATGGCTTTTAGCATGTCATTCTACGATTGCTAGGTGGTTATGATGTGTTGATCTATTTTTGCAGTAATTTCCAGTTGCTAGGTTTGGCAGACAATTACTGGGGGGGGCCTTGCTCTCTGAAGATAAACTGCTCCGGAGGTTAGTTCACTTCAGCGCTATCAGCGCACGTGTGATCTACTGGGCGTGACAGATAGCACTGCCGCACAACATTATATAATATTACAATATGTAATATAGCCTATTATATATATATATATACAAAAAAAACTATATATATATATATATGTTAATGATGAAGCGCTAATATAAGTAATAAATAAGATAATATATTATTCTAATATGGTTATAATATTTATTTTATTGGCATATATAACATTTATCTATATAAATTATAAAACACTATGACAAGGTAATGTTTAATTTATTATATTATATTTATTTATTTATTACATTTTATATTATCATCTCACACATGAATCTGCATTTTCTATGATGTCTAAATTCTAAATGAAAATACATATCTGATATGACTTAATATATAATTAGCATCAAACAAACAATATAATTCATATTCTCAAGGATTAAAGAATAAACGGAAAAAAAATAAAAATGATTGCACAACCATCAATTAGGTGGCGATATGCATGTAAACGTCCATTGAACAAAAGAAGAAGAAAGAAACAGCATGCAGTGCTTTTTCTTAGCATCTGTTTCCATAGTGACTCGTTGATTCGTTGCTCTGTTGAGAATGTCTTGAGTCTTAACCAGGAACATACTCTGGGTTGAGTGAACTTACTCCCTGATGCGTTTTTGGAACCACATACCTCGAGTAAGCAAGGTTTGGGGTTAATCAACCGAAAGTTCAGGGTTTAGCTGACGGTAAGTTAACCGTGCTTTCTGGAATACACCCCTGGAGTGTTTTGGTCAGTTTTCAGCACATTGTTCTATGATTGTTGGGGCTTTCTGATCGTTTTTTAACATTTTTCCATGCAGTTGCTAGGGCGTTGACAGGGGTTTCTCATTTTCAGTCAATTTCTAGGTGGTTGTTAATATGTTCTAATATTTTTATAATATTGTTCTGATCATTTTCACCACATCTCTTTGAATTTGCTAGCGTGGTCTGATTGGTTGTGTCTTTTTTTAGGGCACTGTAATGGTGTTCTGATCAGTTTTTTAACACATTGCTATGGACGGTTTTTAGATAGAATAGGGTGTTTTGACCTGCTGCTGCTTTGGCATTGCTAGGTGGTTGATAGTGTATTCTAATCCATTCTTGCTATGCAGTTTCTGAGCTGTTCTGGGTGGTTGCTTATTGACCCATTTCATGGTTCATGGTTAGTTGGAGTTTTGCATGTTTTATAACCCAACACATGAACCATGACTTTTACACAAGCACATATTATATTCAGAAAATTATACTCTTTGTCATTATCGACCTTTGATACTCAAACAAGCCAGTTATTATTAGTACCTTCTAGAGAAGGTGCTTTACATTAATTTACCATCTATTCAAATGCATTTCCAAGTACTTCTGGAACTCACACCTCACAAACATAAGATATTTGAGACAAACAGGTAAATATGTGAAATGAGAGAACAAACAAAAGAAAGAGGATTAAGGAACCCGAAATAGAAGCATGACAGATGTGTATCAACAGGAGTTCACTTGAGATTTCAACACTGTTGCGCTTCATTTGCTCAGATGTTCAGGCCGACTGGGGAAAGACATGACACACAGTAGGACTTCTCATCTTCTGCCAGTTCTGATAAAAAAAATTATTTATATAAGCAATATGCATAAACCTATAAAATAAACGAAGCGCCAGAAGTATTTCCCATAGCTTTTTGTTGGTTATATTTTGTAATATGACACAACAGGATATTTTTGTATAAAATGTATTATATTTTATGAAAAATATTCACAATTCATGACTTTAAAACACTTCAAAGCACAAACCAAACCTAAAATTGCAACCTACATGTGTAAACATCAATCTGAATCTTCAAAGTTACCAGCATTAGTTTCCTCCATCAGGTCTATTTCACACAGCACTACAGGTCAACTACAGGTCAATATGAAGTTTTATGACTAAAACGTACACAAAAAAAACGGCGACAACAATAAAACAGCATCAAATCACACACGCAACACGGAAAACACAATTCAGACTGACTGAAAACACCTTCATTCTTGTATGATTTTAAATCTAGCTGCTTCCGCTGAGCGAGGGTGGTCGGGGATCAAGAGTAACAAAGCAGGAGTCGAGCGCCAAGCGTTTGGAAGGTTGTGGGACAATGAAAGTATTTGTTGTGATTATTGCTCGTGTGTGTTGTGTTACAGAGGCACTCTGTGGCAGGGGCTGAAAGGCCCTCCGAAACCACAATCCTCAGCTTTGTTCTACAGGCCCTCGGCCTGACCGCGATAAGAAACTTGGATGATGTTACAGGAAGTTGGATGCTCCTCTGGCGATAGGCTTCTCCTGCTGAAAGCTTCTCTTTTTTCACTTTCTATTCGATTGGCTGCCTGGAGGGTGAAAAGAAGGTACGGAATATCATAAACAAGCTCGGCATGTTTAGAACTGGTTTAGTCACTCTAATTAGTGGTTATTTGTTTTTGTTCCTTTGATAAGATTAAGAACATAATTAGTCAGACACTCTAACAGATTATTACATTTCCAGATAAACCTCGAGACGGCATTATGAAGAGATTAATCATCATCATATTTCAGACAGCTATTCAGATACCAGATACATAATATGCGCCTTTAAATTACGCCACAGACACAACAGCATAACATCAGGATCATATGGTGAAATACAACACACATAAGAAAGATCCACAATCAAAAATAACAAAGAATTTTCATTTTTCGTAGAGAAAAATGTTAGTTTTAAGATCGTTAAGATTATCCTTGTGGAACTATTTCACCAAAATATTCAATGGGGGGAAATTAGTGTAATTGACATGAAAATAATGCAACAATGCCTAAAATAGGCTTCTTGTTTGGTATTTTATATTTTGTCAATGTCAAATTTGACAAATAGTTTGCTAAAAATGATCAGTTATCATGCATTTTGTTCTGTACATTGAAATATGTACTAAAAATATTACTACTATTCGAACAATTAAAGAAATGAATTATTTTGTATTTAAAGTATTTTGAACTTTATTTTAATATTGTCTATTTAATGATTGTTCTCATTTTTCACCATGATATAATGTCTTAACTTTTTTTTTTCTCTGGGGCTTTTTTGTTAATTAATATTGATATATGCAATTTATTGCAATCAATTATTTGTCATTAATTAATTTGATTAAAAGGAGCTTAAACTTTTGAGGTGAAATAAGAGCCATACATATTTTTGACATGTTTGCTGAGATTCACCCATCTACCAATGATCTCATGTTGGATAATGGCCATATTTTCAGTGCTTGGGACTAATCAGATTGTGGTCTGAACAGACACACTGGATGCACTTTCCTGTTTGTAACATTATGATCAGTGAGATAGAAAAGATGATGGAGCACATAACAGGAAGTAAAGATAATATGGAGCCTTCAGCATGTGTGCATTAGAGAGGAAAATTGATTTTCCAGTAATGAACCTGTAAAGTTCAGCTGAGGGCAGGAAGTGTCGACACCAAATACAATACAGGCAAGACTATTCCATCTGATTTCTGAGACAGACAGACCTCACAGTGAAATGGACTGATAAAAAATTCATTATTAGAGACATGTGAGAACAGGAACAGAATGAAAGAAACAAAGAACATAAAATCAGTAAATGTGATCAAATAAATCAATTAGGGAAGCACGATATATCGGCCACCATATCGGTATCGGCCGATAAATGCTCATTTTTTCTGTTATCGGTATCGGCCTGATAAGAAAATTTGGCCGATATCTTAAAGCCGATAAATAATGCTTTATTTCCTTCAGAGACACTTCATATGCGCGCTGTTCGTTTGCAGCCTTTTGTGCAATTGTACGTTGTAATATTGTGTTTATTTGATGTATATCTGATTTATCTCATATAGAGTGCGTTTAGTTAAGTTAAAAGAGCGCTTCAGTTTACCGGTGATCGTCTTTAGCTCAGCGC